GGGGGGGGGGGGGGGATTTCGATACTCTAAGGTGTCCTGGTGATCCTGGGTTAGTATCGTCTCTTACGAGCCCGCTCTTGATGTGTTGGAAGCGTTTTCACAGCGAATTCACGCCGATATTGCCATACGGACGTCCCTGGCGCGCGCTCTTCAAGGCCTCGTCCTGGATTGGTGCTCGCCGGCGTGAGTTCATACAGTGCTGCGAGCTGGCCTAAGGCCGGACCTTACGACGGTCCAGCGCTGGGCAGCGTGATGGCTCCTACTCGAGGCGCGACATGAGTGTACGAGGACCTCAACGCCTCGGTTTGGCGAACCAGCATGAGGAGCGGAGCCGCTGTAGCTCCTCCCTGCAGCTTGCGCGTCGCGGTTTGGCCAACGTCCCATCCACCGCGCATACTGCGGCGGCTCTCCAGCTCAAGAAGGCTGCGCTCGACCACCACATCGCCCGAGTCAGTGGTCCAGACGCCCCGCTGAGCCTCGCGCCGCAGTGCAGCCAGTTTGCGCGGCCGTGATGCGCGAATCGAACCGGTGCGATGTTGCTCGGCACTCTAGATGGCCTGAACATGCTTGCATTCAAGTCTCGAGGTCTGCGCTTAAACTTGAAAATTTAATAAAATGGGGTCCGACCGGCCTATGCTAGCAGGCCGTCGCGGCCCGTGGTGCACCAGAGAGAGAGGTCGACACGTTGCCCCCGCCGGCGAGTCCGCGCGGCTCAGGCCGGCCAGAAGGTGTGTGGTGACGGCACCGTGGCAGGCGTGCGGAGAAGAGCTCGCCGAACGCGAGCAGCAGATGGCCAAAGTGTACCAGCGCGAGAGCCTCGCGAGCGGGCGCAGAAGAAGCTCGCCGTGACACGATGCCGGGCGGTGGTGCTCTGGCGACTGTGCACAGTGGGCAAAGTCAGGCTGCAGCAGGGCAGCACGATGGTAGTGCCCTGCTGCAGCCTGGCCTGACATGCACAGGGCGAACAGAGACACTACTATCGTCCGGCGCTCGTCACCGAATCTGGGCCAACTTCGACCGCCGCCACAGCTCGCCACGAGCACGCAGCGACAAAATGTTGACTGTACGGAAGTTGAGGCTGGTCGAGAGGAAGAGGCTGCCGTGCGAGCCGGCAGCAGGCTGGCTCGTCGTGGACTGCAGCGGCGATTCTTATGGGTTTCTCTGTTCATACTAGCGTGGACGCTACTATGGTTTACCCACATTAAGCAAGTTTTGGCGCGCGCTTGCGGGGTAAATGACAGCACGCCTCAGCATCGAGACGCTCGTTGAGCGCGTCCGCGGCGGCACCACCACCCAGAAGAAGGATGCGGCAGACAAGCTGCGCGACCGAGCCGACGAGTGGGAGGCGATCATCCATGCTGGCGGCTTCCAGGCGCTCGTCGACCTTGCTCGCAATGGCAGCAACCGAGGGGTGGGGAGGGTGGCGGCGGCCGAAGCGCTGGAACGCCTTGCAGAGAAGGGCGCCTCCAGCACGATCGTCGAGGCTGACGGCGGCATCCAGGCGCTCGTCGACCTTACTAACGGCAGGCTGCCTCAAGCGGCCCGCGCTCTGGGCTACCTTGCAGAGAACGGCGCCGGGAGCAAGATCGTCGAGGCTGGCGGCATCGACGCGCTCGTCCACCTTGCTCGCGTCTTCACGGGGGACGGCGGTCATGACGTCGGATGGTCGGCCGCGTTGGCACTAAGCAAGCTTGCTCGCTTCGTCGAACTCGCAGAGAAGATCAAGGAGGCGGACGGCATTGGAGCGCTCGTCGCACTGGCACGCTGTGACTGGCACACGGAGAGAGAGATGGCAGCGTTGGCGCTGGGCAACCTGGCGTGCCACGGCCTCGTCTATTGCACGGCCATCAAGGAGGCCGACGGCTTCGATGCCCTGAACAGGCTTGCCGGCTATGGCGACGGCCAAGCAAATGCGGCCGAGTACGCGCTGGGCATGATCAAGACGCACTATCTCGCCTCGGCCGACTGGGGCGCGTACCTGGCGCGCTACAACGACCTGACCGAATGCCTCGCACTATCTCACCACGCGGCGCGCGACCACTTTATCAACCACGGCTTCAAGGAGGGCCGCGACGCTTCACCGGCAGCGTCGGATGAATCGCAGCCGGCAAAGCGCTTGAAGGCTGAGGCGGAGGCAGAGGCTGAGGCAAATGCAGAGGCAGGGCAGTCAACCAAGCAGGACGCTGTCGGAGGGGCGTCGTCGTCCGGCGCGGGCGAGACCGATTTGGCGGAGGCGGAGGCGGAGGCGGAGCAGAAGAAGGCGGAGGCGGAGGCGAGCAGTCGTAGCATCGGCATCGGGCGCGCAGCAGATGAAGGCGAGGCTTGAGACGGTATATCAACTGATGCAGCAGTCCCAGCAGCTCCAGCAGCAGTCCCAGCAGCTCCAGCAGCAGTCCCAGCAGCTCCAGCAGCAGTCCCAGCAGCTCCAGCAGCAGTCCCAGCAGATCATGGAGGCGCTCAACGGTATGGCGTCAAGCAGTGTCGCTGAGGCGATGGCCGCGGCGTCAGCGTACGCCAATGCCATTGCTGCGTGCAAGGCGGTCACGGACTGCTACGCGGCGAGGTTGAGGTGCTATGCGGAGAAGGAGGAGGAGATCCTGGCCGAGAATTCCAAGCTCGAGGCCAAGCTTCGCGAGGTCGAGGATGAGCCGCCCGGCTTTGAGAAGACGAAGGAAGCGATGGAGCGGCGGGAGGCGGCGCGCAAGGAGATCAAGGAGTGGGATTGCATGACGCGAGGGAGGTATGCGAGACATTTGCGCTCGCTGCTCGGCGAGGACGCGATCGACGGCCAGGACGTCTTCCACATCATCGCCGAATCCAACGGCGGCGCCAACCACCCCGACAACTTCCTCTACGCGCTCGGCTCCACCTTCAACCGGTCGATTGGCAACAACTATGACGACTTTAATGCCTTTCTTGCGGGCAAGGAGAAGACGGAGCGGGCCGTCCGCGCATCCATCAATTATGGCAACCGCACCTGGAAGTACGAGGCAACCAAGAACTACGACCCGATCGCGGCAGGAGGCTCAAGCTCGGACCCCGCTGACGAGGCGCGGCGGCTCTTCGAGAAGGGCCAGACGCTGATGACGGCGGCCCGCGCGGCCCGCCGTGCCGGGCAGGCATGAGACTCTCTTCGGTGTCAATGCGCTAGCTCTTCTACAGAATCTACGCACCCTTCCGTCACTGTCATAGACAGCCCATAGCAGTCCATACACATGCATATTTTTATCCGATCCGATCCATGTTTCTTTTTCTCCTGCTCGGGCAGGAGCCCCACGGCATTCAAAGTGCAAGCACCGGCCCGGTGCCGTGGGTGAGCAACCTGCACCCCACTCCTACTCCTATAACACAACCCCCACAGCGTGGTCGTCTACGTGTTCAGAAACACAGCGAGGCGAGGGTGAAGGGGTAGTACCCGGGGTAAGGGGCTGTGTGGGGCTATCTGTGACTACTCCATCTAGCCTGGGGGGTAGCAGGAGGGGGGGGGCAGAGGGTAAGATATGGGTGAGGCCAGCTACAAGTCGGACGCCCTCCCGTCGTCGTCGGAATACTCCTCGGAGCGGTCGGCGTCCTCGTCGTCGTCCTCGGTCTGCATTGCCTCGCCAGCCGTGAACCTGAACACGGCGTCGGCCGGCGCCGAGGCGCCGGCGGCCGTCATCAGGTGCATGACCATGCGGTCGCGGCATGCCGCATCAATCTTGCCGCGCCCGGCCAGCTCGTTCGCGAGCCAGTCCGGGGCGACCGTCGTCGCCACGGTCCCCTGGGGAACTGTGGCGTACACCTTGCTGGGGCCGCGTCGATACCCGTCGTCCCTCTCCGGGGGCAGCGAGTATTCGACTCCTATATTGGACCCGGCCTGGCTGCGCGCCTGCGCAGCTGCAGACCGCAGCCCGGCCATCACGTACTCGATGTTCTCGCGCAGCTGCGCGCGCGGGCGCTCCGCGTTCTCGGCCTCGTTCGCGGCGCGCTCGCCAGCCTCCTTCGCCCGGCGCTCCTTCTGCCGGATCTTCTTGGCCTTGCGTGACGCGGTTCGAGCCGCAAGCTGCTCATCAGTGAGCTCCTTCTTCTTCGGCGCGGTGCGCTCGATGTACGAGCGCTCCGCCACCTTCACCGACTCGCGGTCGCCCGCGGCCTTCTCGTGCTTCAGGTCGACCTCGATGGTCGCGTAGCCAGGCCTTATCAGCCTGACACACGACGCACCGAACAACCGTGCGACACCCACCGCGTCCTCCAGTTGCGCGCGATCGGAGCGATTCCAGGGTCCGCTGCGCATCCCCGGCAGTACGACGGTGGCCGGCGCTTGCGCGCCAGCCCCGTCCGCCACCGGGTCCGCGGCCGCGGTCCCTGTCATAGCTACGCGCGCCATGGATCGGCGGTTACACCTCCACGTCAGAGTGTGGTTGGTGAGAGCTTTTTGGCTATACCATAGACCGTACACCCGGACTCACAGGTGCCCCACGGCACATTCATGATCATGCATCATGTGCAAGGCGTCCACACGATACTTTACTATCGACGATTCGATAGTTACCCCGCGACCTCTCAATCCCGCGACCACACCTCGATCTTCTTGGGCAGCAGCTGGTTCGACACGTCCCCTCCGTGGCCTAGGCAGCCGTAGCGGCCCTCGCCCCAGCTCCAGACAGCTCCGTCGGCGGTGGTGGCGAGATTGTACGCGAGCGCAGCAGACACAGCGACGACGCGCTGCCCAGCAAAGGCCTCGACCTTCTTCGGCAGCAGCTGGCGCTGCCGGTCGCCGTGGCCCAGCTGGCCATCTTCGCCTAGGCCCCAGCTCCAGACGGCGCCCTCGGCGGTGAGGGCGAGGCTGTGAAGACCTCCAGCCGCCACAGCGACGACGCGCTGGCCAGCCAAGGCCTCGATCTTCTTGGGCTGCCACTGGCGCTGCTCGTCGCCGTGGCCCAGCTTGCCAAAGGCTCCCCAGCCCCAGCTCCAGAAGGCGCCGTCGGCGGTGAGGGCGAGGCTGTAACCGCGCCCCGCCGACACAGTGACGACGTGCTGCCCTGCAAAGGCCTCGACCTTCTTCGGCAGCAGCCGGCTCTGCTGGTTTTGCTCGTCGCCGTGGCCCAGCTCGCCCAAGCCTCCACAACCCCAGCTCCAGACGGCGCCGTCGGCGGTGAGGGCGAGGATGTGGCCGCTTCCAGCCGACACAGCGACGACGCGCTGGTCAGCCAAAGCCTCGATCTTCTTCGGCAGCAGCTGGTCCTGCTCGTCGCCGTGGCCCAACTTGCCAGAGTTTCCATTGCCCCAGCTCCAGACAGCTCCGTCGGCGGTGATGGCGAGGCCGTGCATCTCTCCCGCCGACACAGCGACAACGCGCTGGCCAGCAAAGGTCTCAATCTTCTTCGGCAGCAGCTGGTCCTGAGTGTCGCCGTGGCCTAGCCGGCCAGAGCCTCCACTGCCCCAGCTCCAAACGGCGCCGCTGCCGGTGAGGGCGAGGCTGTGGAATGCTCCAACCGACACGCTCACGACGCGCTCACCGCTCAGCGTCGACGTTAGGCGGGTCGGCGTGTTGAGCCGCGTCACGCCATCGCCGTGGCCGAGTACTCCCGGCGTCCAGCTCTCAGCCGAGCCGCACGACGAGAGCCGCCCCTGGCCGTCGATGAAGAGGCTGTGCTGAAAGCTTGCCGCCACCCTCGCCGGCGGGTTGGACTCGGACAGCAGCGCAGCGAAGCACAGCCACCGCACGGCGCAGACCTCGCCCTCTGGCAGCGCCGGCAGCTCGAAGCCGCGCTCTTGCGCCCACAAGCGGATGGCCTCCACCGCAAGCGAGGCGTGAAAGAGCAGCGAGACGGCCGCGACGCGAGCGATGTTGGCGGGGTCGCAGCGAGAGAGGGCGCGCACGAGGAGCTCCGTGGGAAGGTCGAGGAGGCGGGCGGGCGGCGGCGTGTCTGGCGAGCGGGCGGTGGAGACGGAGGCGAGGCGGCGCGAGCGGCGGCGCGGTGGGGTGGACATCGCGAGAAAAAGAAAATTTGTGAGAAAAAGAATTCAAACGCGATGTCGTGCGAGAAAAAGAAATTCGCGCGGGCTCGAGAATTTACTTATCGATGCCCGCCGCCGTTCGGAACGCCGGCGTGGAGCCTTGTTCGCAGCCGGGGTCCCTGGCGCCCTTCCCCTTGAGTCTTCATGAGAGCCTCGCCTGCGCGCAACGTGCTTGATGCGTTTCGCCGTCTCGAGTCCCGAGGCCCGAGTCGCGTTGGTGAGAGCTTTTCCGCTAGTACCACGCAGCCCGACTCACACAGGCTCGGGCAGAGGTGGAGCCCCACAATTGTTAATGTGCAAAAGGGTCAAGGCCGCGTCCACACGATACCGTCCCCGCGACCTCTCAATCGGCATTGTCAATCCCGCGACCACACCTCGATCTTCTTGGGCAGCAGCTGGCGCGATAGGTCCTCTCCGTGGCCTAGGCAGCTGCCGTCGCCCCCGCCCCAGGCAAAGATGGCGCCGTCAGTGGTGATGGCGAGCCTTTGCTCGACTCCCACCGACGTAGCGACGACGCGCCGCCCCGTCAACGCCTCAATCTTCTTCGGCTGCAGCTGGTTCTGCTGATCGCCGTGGCCCAACCGACCGTTGCCACCGCGGCCCCAGCTCCAGACGGCGCCGTCGGCAGTGATGGCGAGGCTGTGGGCGTCTCCAGCCGACACAGCGACGACGCGCTGGCCAGCCAAGGCCTCGATCTTCTTGGGCAGCAGCTGGTCCTGCTCGTCGCCGTGGCCCAGCTTGCCATCTTCGCCAAGGCCCCAGCTCCAGGCGGCTCCGTTGGCGGTGAGGGCGAGGCAGTGCCCGACTCCAGCCGACACTGCGACGACGCACCGACCTGCAAAGGCCTCGACCTTCTTGGGCAGCGGCTGGTCCTGCTGGTCGCCGTGGCCCAACATGCCCCAGTATCCACCGCCCCAGCTCCAGACGCTGCCGTCGGCGGTGATGGCGAGGCTGTGAAAACCTCCAGCCGACACGGCAACGACGCGCTGGCCAGCAACGGTTGCCACCTCCGTGGGCAGCAGCTGGCTCTGCTCGTCGCCATGGCCCAATCGACCAAAGCCTCCCCGGCCCCAGCTCCAGACAGCTCCGTCGGCGGTGAGGGCGAGGCTGTGCTGCCACCCAGCCGACACGGAGACGACGCGCAATTTAGCAAACCCCTCGATCTTCTTGGGTTGCCACTCGTGCAGCTCGACGCCATGGCCCAACAGGCCGTGGCGTCCACTGCCCCAGCTCCAGACAGCGCCGTCGGCGGTGAGGGCGAGGCTGTGGCCGGTTCCAACCGACACGCTCATGGCGCGCTCGCCGCCCAGCGTCGACGGGAGGCGGGTCGGCGTGTTGAGCCGCGTCACGCCCTCGCCGTGGCCGAGAAGGACTGGGTTGTAGAACGGCGAAGAAAGCAGCCCTCCTGAGAAGTATGTGCTACCCGCAATCACAAGGGCCCTCGCCGCGGCGGGCGGCCCGCGTGCAGACAGCTTGCGGCTGTTTGCGTCACCATGGTCGCCCCCGCGTGACACTTCCGTTTTTCTTTCGGTGCTAAGTGCATTGCCGCTCTTAACGGAGTCGCTTAGGCGGCTCCGGTGGTGTGCCGGTGATAGTACTAGCACGCGCCAGTTCGCACCTGTGTCGAGCCTAAGAAAACAGACACGCCAAACGAGGGATGGGACGAGGACAGGGTCCCCACCTGCACGAGCAGGATTTTGGAAGGACGATCAGGGGGACAGGTGGGGCTCTCCTGCTCCTGACAAGGGACACGACAGGCTCGCAGCGCGGTGCGCGGTGGACTCCCACATCCACTGGCGGTCTCATCTCAGTCTAGCGACCTGCCTCCAGCTTGTCGCTGGCAGTCTCTCCTACCACAGGCACACTGACACAGGGGTGGCAGGGGCGGCGGCACGAGTCTCCCACATACTATGCGGGCCTCACTAGAGGTGCGGCCTGTGCGTGTCCTCGCCCTTGAGGGGGGAGGGGAAGGGGCTGTGTGTCTGTGCATGTGTGTGTGTGTGTGTGTGTGTGTGTGTGTGTGTGTGTGTGTGTGTGTGTGTGTGTGTGTGTGTGTGTGTGTGTGTGTGTGCGTGTGTGCGTGTGCGTGTGCGAGCCGCCCTGAACGCCACGAGCGCGCCGCGAGCGCCATAGCGCCGGCGAGCGCCGTCGGACCGCCACCCAAAAGTGGAGGTACATTAGGAGCCGCAGCCGGCCTGCTCTATCAGCCCCGCAGCCGCGGTGGCGCGACCGGACCGCGGTCGCTCCAGGCGCCTTTTGGCCCCGGTTCGAATCGCGGTTGGCGCGCGCCCTCGCGGAGCGACGCGTGGCGCGCGACGCGCGCGCGTGCGCGTGCGCGCCCAGCCGAGCCCTAGGCCGTATGCCGTCTGCCGTCTGCCGTCTGCCGTCGGCCGTCGGCCGTCGGCCGTCGGCCGTCGGCCGCCGCCGCCGCCGTAGCGGCGGCGAGCGCTCGCCTTTTGCGCGACGCGCAGTGTGGACGCGCGCCGCCCAGCGCCGGACGTGCCGGAGCCGGTCCGGCGCGCGCGCGGGCGGCCAGCGCCTGTAAACAGACAGCTGCCGCCCACACGTCGAGCCTGTCTGCTGCGGGTTTAAATTCTTTCGGCAGCACGTGTTGGCGTGACGCTGTGTGTGTCGCTCACGCTCGAGGAGCGATTCCGCTTCGGCTCCGGGCGCTTCGACGACATCAATGGCTTGTACGTGGACGACGCCGTCCCGAGCTGTACGTGAACGACTGGGCAGCGCCAGACGGCGAGGACTTTTAAAGAAAGAAAGAAAGAAAACAGACAACCCAAGGGAGGGATGGGAGGAGACATCCTGAGCGAACTCGAGGCCGCAATTTTTCTTTCGGCAGCACGTTGGCGTGACGCTGCCGCCGGCGTTGGCAAGCCCGCGATGTGGTCGCTCACGCTCGGTGCGGCGCTCGCCAACGTCGGCTGCTCCGTCTCGCTAGTGCTCGTCAACAAGGCTCCGGAAGATACAGCCCCGGCCTGACCCTTCCCGCTCCACCTCCGCCGCCATCCGCCGTCCTCCGCCGCCAGCCGCGAAGCCGTGGCACACCTCCGACCCCGCAGGCGGTCTTCTCGGCTGGCTTCAACTTCCCCATGTCGCTCACCTTCCTCCACTTTGCCTTTACCGTCGCGTTCTACCGCCTGCTCGCAGCGTGCGGCGCCTTTGAGCCTCAGTCGCTGCCGCACGCAGAGGCGTTCAAGGTTGCCGGGTTTGGCGTCGGAAGCATCGGCTTCATGAACATCTCGCTCCACCTCAACTCGGTCGGCTTCTACCAGATCACGAAGCTCGCCATAGTGCCGTGCACGCTGCTCGCACAGGCACCTTTTTAAGCCCTCGCCAGCCGCCTCTCGGCCGCACCTCGGCCGCACCTCGGCCGCCCACCTCGACGGCCTCTCGGCTCCACCTCGCGCAGGCGCTCCTGCACGACGTGCACGCCTCGCGCCGTGTGAAGCTCTCGCTCCTCCTCCTCCTCCTCGGCCTCGCCGTCGCCACCGTCTCGGACGTGAGACACTTCCTAGACACTTCCTAGACGCGTCCTAGACACCGTCTCGGACGTGAGACACTTCCTAGACACTTCCTAGACGCGTCCTAGACACCGTCTCGGACGTGAGACACTTCCTAGACACTTCCTAGACGCGTCCTAGACACCGTCTCGGACGTGAGACACTTCCTAGACACTTCCTAGACGCGTCCTAGACACCGTCTCGGACGTGAGACACTTCCTAGACACTTCCTAGACGCGTCCTAGACACCGTCTCGGACGTGAGACACTTCCTAGACACTTCCTAGACGCGTCCTAGACACCGTCTCGGACGTGTGCAGCTCCCCCTAGAAGCGAGTGTGCATTCTTGCTCCTCAGCGCAATCTCGTCTTCCGCCCGCTGACGTCGGGTGTACTCAGCACGCAGGTCCAGCTCAATGCGCCCGGCCTCGTCCTCGGCTTGCTCGCCGTCGCCACCACCACAATCTTCCAGATCTGGCAAGGCTCCAAGCAAAAGGCGACACTTCCTAGACACTCCCTAGACACTTCCTAGACACCACCGTCTTCCAGATCTGGCAAGGCTCCAAGCAAACGGTGCTCGAGCTGCCTCGCCACGCCGCCGTGTCGGCCGGCTGATTCTTTCTTTTCATCCATCCGTCGTCAGTCGTAGGAGCTCGAGCTGTCCGCGACGCAGCTGCAGGCGGCCGTCGCCAGCAGTGGCGGCGTCACCTCTCCACCGCTTTGCATCGCCTCACAGCCTTTTCTTTCACAGGCGGCCGTGGCGATTTGGCAGGTGCCGCAGGCGGTCGCTCGCCCGCTTGTTCACAGCTCGAGGTGTGAAGAGACGCTGTTCACAGGTGCCGCAGGCGCTCGCGGCGGCGATTGCGCTGGAGAACCTCTGCGCAGGCCCGCCTCGCCTTGAGAGATTGCACGAGATTGCACGAGATTGCACGAGATTGCACGAGATTGCACGAGATTGCACGAGGTTGAGCAGCGATGTGTGCAGCCGCTTCAGAGGCCCGGCCATACGAACTGCTGTCTGTGGCGATGCCTCTCCCTGAGAACGCACACACCGCCTCGTGTGGTCACGCCCCGTGTATCCCGCGAGTGCGTGTGCCCCGTCGCCCGGTGCGAGGGACGTGTCACACACACACACTCACTGATGACGGACTGGCTGACTGAGAGGAGGCCGTGCTCAAGGGCTCCCCCCTGGACGAGTGTGTGATGAGTGGCTCGCGTCTTGAAGGGGCGTACGGCCTGGCTCCCTAGTACGGACGCACGTGACCCCGCCCACACCTCTGCGCAGGTTTGCCTCCCGCACTCCGCTCGGAGGAGCCAGGAGAGTGCCGGACGGCGGTCGGGTTCGCCCAGCAAGCCGCGAACGGCGGCGGCGGCGACGGGGGCGGCGGCGCGCGCACACTGGCGCTGGTGGTGCTGACCTGCTTCGTCGCCCTTGGGACGAACGTCTCCTCGTTTTGCCTCATCGGCCGCACGTCGGCAATCACCTTCCAGGTGGTCGGGCGACCTGCCTCGTATCTCCGCACGTCTCCCTCGCATCTCTCCGGAATTCTCCGCCCCCAAGGATTCGGTACTTAGGCGGCGGGGGATCTGGATTCGGTACTTTAGGTGGTCGGGCATGCCAAGACCTGCCTCGTCCTCGCGGGCGGGTTTTTGCTCTGGCCTCCCGCGGACACGTCGCACTTGCCCACGCAGCTCGTCGGCGTCTCCGTCGCCGTCCTCGGCTGCGTCCTCTATTTCTTTTTTAACCTGTGTTTCTTTTTTAGGCGTCTCGGTCGCCGTCCTCGGCTGCGTGCTCTACGGCCATCTCAAGCTGAGCGAGGCTACCGGCCGGAGAGACTTGTGCGACCGCCTCTGCCCCGCGCCGCTGCTGTGGGTCGCGACAGACCCCCCGCCGAGGTTCGAGATACAACCCGAGATACAGCCGAGATGCAGCTGGAGATACAGCCGAGATGCAGCCCGAGATACAGCCCGAGATACAGCCGAGATACAGCCCGAGATACAGCCGAGACACAGCGGGGATGCAGCCGAGATGCAGCCGATCTAGCCGAGATCCGGACGAGATCCTGCCGAGCTCCTGCCGAGCTCCTGCCGAGGCCCAGCTCGCATACAGCCGAGGTACGTACAGCCGCGGCTGCACCACCCCGTCCACACCTCCCCCCGCGAATCAGGTACGAGCCGCTGCCTGCGTCGGGGGAGCTCATCCCGGCGGCGGAGCTGTCCGCGTCGGACGCCAAGGTGGCTTAATTATTCATGATTAATTAATAGCAATCTTAGTTCATTCAGCGGACCTGTCCGCGTCGGACGCCAAGGTGGCTTAATTATTATGATTAATTAATAACAATCTTAGTTCATTCAGCGGACCTGTCCGCGTCGGACGCCAAGGTGGCTTAATTATTCATGATTAATTAATAGCAATCTTAGTTCATTCAGCGGACCTGTCCGCGTCGGACGCCAAGGTGGCTTAATTATTCATGATTAATTAATAGCAATCTTAGTTCATTCAGCGGACCTGTCCGCGTCGGACGCCAAGGTGGCTTAATTATTATGATTGATTAATAGCAATCTTAGTTCATTCAGCGGACCTGTCCGCGTCGGACGCCAAGGTGGCTCTGCGGCGGCCGGGCCCGGGGGGAGGGGCTGCAGACGAGGCGGCCGACGGCGGGGGGGCGGAGGCGCGGTCCGACGAGGAGCGGCGGAGATGAGGCAGAGGCTCGACGCTCTCTGTCCAACGGCCCGCGACGCACACTCCCTTTCGGCGTGGGTCTCCTCGACACGCCGGACGGGCGTCGAGACGGGCGCTCGCCGCGCCGCCCCACCGCCCCACCGGCCTCTGTCGGGCGTCCGGCACCGCCGCCCATGCTTCTCGCCGGTCTCTATGCGGGGAGGGAGGGAGCCTGACCGCACTTGGCTGCTGTGACTCTGACTGACTCTGTCCCGAGTGCTCTTCTCAATCCATTTCTATCGGCGTTCTCTGCCAGTCGCATGCGTGTTGCACCATCGAAGATGCGGCGTCGCCGTCCGGTGGACGGTCGCGTCGTTCACTTTATGTTGTTATGATTATGTTTGGACGAAAAAAGTCACAAATAAAACGTACATCTAGAGACTCGGGTACTCGCTGTTGAGGGCTCTCTCCCAATCACTCCCAACTTTCACGACGAATGCTATCTTTGCACTTTGGGAAGCGAGGCATGAAACGCCTGGGGGCCAGTATATTGTTTCGATTGGCGGCCCCTGACTCGTGACTGCATGTGTGTTCGTTGACATGAACGATGAAGCTAGATGCTAGGCCTACTTACCTCCGGTATGCCCCTGGCTCTGCGGGGCCTTTTGCGCGGCCCTCGCCGGCAGCGGCGGAGGAGGGTGCGCTGCAGAGCCCTCGGCGAGGTACCTAATAGACATTCATCGAGAGCAAGATAGCAGGATCCAGAGAGACACGCCCCATCAGGAGAAGGAGAGGCGAGAGCGCTCAAGGATCACTCGCGGCGCACCTCATGTTTTCGCGCGCGAGGCTGCGGCTGAAGCGGGCGCCGCTGCTGGGCGAGGGAGGCGGCTTCCCACTGCTGGAGGAGGAGGAGCTGGAGGTGTTGCTCCGCCCGACGCCTACCCGACGCGAGCTCACAATGAGGAGGGGCTGCTGGACGTGTGTTGCTCCGCGCCCCCCCCCCCTCTCTGCGCCTGTGAGAGAGTGAGAGAGGGGTGCAAGAGCTGGTTGGGCGTGTGAGAAAGGCGGCGAGGGAGGGGAGAGGAGGGGATGGGGGGGGTAGAGGGAGGGAGAGGGAGGGAGAGGGAGGGAGGGGGAGTGAGCGGAGCGGGAGGGGAGGGAGGGTGGTGTGTGACCCAGAGGGAGAGGGAGGTAGGGAGAGGGATGGAGAGGGATGGTGTGTGGGGGGGGGGGGGGGAGGGGTAGGGAGAGAGAGAGAGAGAGAGGGAGAGAGAGAGAGAGAGAGAGAGAGAGAGAGAGAGAGAGCACGAGCGAGACAGTCCGCGAGAGGCAGAGTGAGGGAGCGAGCGCACCCGCGCCGCGCCGCGTCTCCGACTCGGACTCGGACTCCGACTCCTCCTTGTCCGAGACCTGCAGCCTCGTCGCCCAGTCGATGCAGCTGCCTGGTGTCCGGGAAGGGTCACATGGAGTCACATGGAGTCAGAGGGCTGGGGGGGCTGAGCGGCGAGGTCGGCGGCGAGTGCGGTGGCGAGGCAAGTGGCGGCGGGTAGGGTGGCGGCGGGAAGGATGGAGCGGGCGGGTGTTGGGGCGCAGGGCGGCGGTGGGGAGGGAGGTAGGCTGGAGTGCGACGGGGATGCCTGCATCGGTGACGGTGGTTGCGCTGGCAGCGTGCGCGCGCGCGCGGTCGCCGAAGGAGGGGGACTCGAACTCGCGCTTGTCCTCGGAGTCGTGGGACGCACGCGAGACTGGCAGCTGCCCAGAAATTCGCCTCCGCACCGGCGCACCGCTTCCCACCGCGGCTACCGTGGCGGCAGGCCGGGTGGCGGCGGCGGCGGAGCTGCTGGCGTCGGCGTGGGTGGCGGAGCCGCCGGTGGCGGTGGCGGTGGTGGCGGCGGGATTTCCGAAGGTGTGGGCGACGGCGAGAGTATAGGCGGGGTTGCGTTGGCCCGTGTCGGTGGGCTCACGCCTCTCGTACCAGTGGAGCGGCTGCGCCCCGTCTGCGCCCGTTGAGTCGGAGAGGACTCCCATCAGCTCGGGCTCGGTGTTGGCCCAGCTCATGAAGCTCTCCTCCGAGTCAAACTGGACGATAGCCTGACCTGGGTACAACCTAGCCCACGCATCCTGAGCATTCGCCAGCATCGCGGCCGAAGTGTGTAGCACAGGCCGCTCGTCGTCTCGGCGCTCGCTGCTCATGTGGTGTTGGCACAACGAGGGCTCGAGCCGCGCTTGATTGCCACACAAGTAGCAACTACGAGAGGATATTGCAATCGCTGGCAGAAGTCAGCGCTAGATTGTAGTCACACGGAGGCGGAGACGTCGAAGCACGATGCCTGGGAGCTCTGCCAACATTCCACAATTCGAAGGTCCGGCGATCGTCGGCGATTTCGAGGGCGACGAGATCCCGAGGAGATCCCCGCCGAGATCCAGCCGAGATACACCGAGGTGATGACGAGAAAAGAACCCTGCCGACATCAAGGCAGCTCCCTTGCGTCACTACGTGCCTCCCCGAGTCTGGCGTGTGAGTGTGAGCACACACACAACCCGAGTCTCTCTCTCTCTCTCTCTCTCTGGCGTTTGTGCCCCGTTTGTGCCGCGTCCCGTGCCCCCGAGTTCATTCAGCAACGCGGGTTCGCGCAGTTTCCACAGGATCAAGCCACGCTAACCTACAGTAAGAGCGCCTGCAGGCTTGAATGCCATGGGACTCGACTCCCCGATGTCGGCTTTATCATTTACGGCTCTAGACCGGTGGAGTCACACGAGGGTTATCCCTGACACGTATGTCATGGGTTTGCCGGGGGATCGCAAACTTGTGGGGGGTGCGGAATACAAACACCGCTGCGCAGTGGCTTGCCCTTTCGCGCCCATTTGGAGATGCCACCAACGCGTCTGAGCGAGCCAAATGTGTGGTGGGCAGCCTCTTTCCTTTTTTGAGGGCGCCTTCGTTGTAATACAAACGGATGGTCACTTGTAGTCACACCCACACATCGCACCGCACCGCGCGCACGCCCACGCGCGCACCTTTTCTTTTTTTATCGGCTGGGCCAAGAAAGACGCCTCACTCACAGCACACAGCACACTGGCACGACAAGGGACTGACTAGGGCACACTAGCACACATTGGCACACCAAGAAAGAAGCGGATCCTCACCGCTTTGGCGGCCAAAATCATCCTGCGAAGAGTGAGCCATGGCTGGATCGACGGCGGGCTACTCGAAGGATGGCCCGATCGGGGGGTAGAGGCTACAGCCGCGCAAAAAAGACCGCCGCGCAACGAAGACCGCTGTCGTCGCACGCTGCTGACGCCCAGGATGACAGAATTGGCCTTCGCCAGACTGAGGACTATTGTGCGCCTTGGCGAGGCGCTTCCGGTGGTATTTTTTTAGAGCTGGTTCGGCATGCACGAGCGCGTGGGTGTGTGTGAGCACCGCGGGTCTTTTTTGCGATCCCGGGTCTTGTGCTTGTGCGTGATGCTGTGTGGCATGTGGTCGTCTGCAGTCAGTATAGACATGATAGGGGTGGACTATAGGTCCAGTAGGTCAATTGATCTCGCTTAGTCGCATCGTGGGGAGCTCATCCCGGGCCGTCGCAGGCCGCCGCGCATCGGGTCTTTTTTGCGAAGCTGTAGCCTCTAACAGCGACGGCGATTGCGAACCCGCCATGGCCCTCATGCGAACAAGCCGGGGCCCCAAGGTCAAGCTTACCCTGGAGGCCGGCCCTGGCGGCATCGTTTGTGCCACGCTGACAAAGGAGCAGCGCACGGAGGCGATCAAGAGGCCCTCGGTCAAGGAGATGGTCGAGGTGTTCGAGCCGATCTACAAGAAGGTCATGCCTTCCGCCTCCGTGGTGGCACATCCGTAGCCACCCTCTCCGTCTCCCCCCCAACGCCCCCCGTCGCCCATGCCACCCTCATAGGTGCTGCTCGATGGCCTCCTCGGAAAGAAGGTGGCGCTCTTTGCAGAGGGCCGCCGCCGCCGCGTCCCCTGCGGGCCCAGCCTGGCGCCCTACCTGAATGCGCCTTCCGACCAAGAGTTGCACTTCAAGGTGCGTTTCTGCCCCGAGGCGAAGTTCCTCGCACCCACTCGCGGCGACAAGGCTGGGCCGAATGCCGATTCGGCACCCGACAACGATGGGTGGTACAAGAAGGGCCCCAAGGTGCGTTGCTGCGTGATGACATTCTCACCCCAACAGCCCGTTACCCCCTCCCCCGCCCCTTGCCTGCTTGCAGGAACTGTTCACGTGGGCGGAGGCAGCGGCCTCCTCGCGCTCATCCTATCTGGATGGGCTCAAGCAGTGCTTCGAGGCCGGCCAACTTTCCTTTGCTCAATGCGTGTCGAAGGTCAAGCTGGCTGTGCAGCAGGCGCAAGTGGACAACGTCGTTGTGCCCCTGCCCAAAGACAAGGCGATTGCGAAGTCCGCCAACCGCACCCGTAAGATGCACACCCGCAGGATGCACATGCTCGGCCGCAACCGAAGCGTCGGCAAGACCGACGTCGACGGCTTTGATTCGGCCGAGTCAAGCTTTAGTGATCGGCTCGGCCCGCTGAGCCCCGGCCTGCGCGGGTGGCGCAAGCTCGCCTTGCGGGAGGCGGCGGCCAAGGAAAAGGCTGTGTTCGAGGCCCCACGCAAGGAGATGAAGAAGGTGGAGGACATCTACTATGACGAGAAGGCTGCGGCCGAGGCCATGGCCAAGGCTGCGGCGTTACGCCTTCTTGCCTCGGCCCTTCTTGTCAAGGCGTACCGCCGGTTGAGCGTCACGCACCACCCCGACAAGGGATTCTCAAGCTCGCCGCTGTGCCCCGCGTCGTAGGTGAAGCGCAAGGCAGAGCAGGCTGCGGAGGCGGGGCGTGAAGCGAGCCAGGACGGCGCTGCCATCTCCGTCGCCTCCGAGGCCATGGCCAAGGCTGCGGCGTTACGCCTTCTTGCCTCGGCCCTTCTTGTCAAGGCGTACCGCCGGCGCCTTCTTGCCTCGGCCCTTCTTGTCAAGGCGTACCGCCGGTTGAGCGTCACGCACCACCCCGACAAGGGATTCTCAAGCTCGCCGCTGTGCCCCGCGTCGTAGGTGAAGCGCAAGGCAGAGCAGGCTGCGGAGGCGGGGCGTGAAGCGAGCCAGGACGGCGCTGCCATCTCCGTCGCCTCCGACGACGCCTCCGAGGACGCTGTCATAGAGCGGGCTCACCACCTCATTGTCCCCGCCACCGATCCAACCACTGTCTCGCAGGCCGATGCGGCGTCGCAGCCCAAGCCGCCGCTCGAGCTGTCCGTGATCGTTGTTACTTACATGAAGCCCGAAGGCAGGAAGAACGAGAAGGAGTTCTCCGTGGACCATACGGTGAAATATGTTCTCGAGTCTTTCGGATTCACGGGCCGCGAGCACCGCTTCCTGCAAAACCACGCTTCTACCCCTCTACACACGTCTGATGATCGCCTCTCCGACTTTCTCGACCCGGGAGCCAAGATCACGCTCGACCACGGCGGACTTTCTGGTGGATGCCCCTCTTCCTCAACGGCACCCGCTGTACCCGCGGCACTCGCGGCAATGACATGAACAATTGATATTCGCCCGACTACCGTCGCCGCCGCCGCCGTCGCCTAGCCCGTCGCCACGGATCCAGCCGCCACCGTTGCCTCCCTCTCACCACTGCCTCTCTCGCCACCGCCCGCCCTCGCCGCCACCCGCCCCGCCGCCGGGGCCTCACTACCGCCTCCTCTGCGCCGTCTCCCACGCCGCCGCCGCCTGCTTCGCCCCCGCCCGCCTCGCCGTCGCCCTCGTCGCCACTGCCGCCGCCGTCGCTGTCGTCGCCAGTGCCACCGGACCGCCGCATCACCACATACTGGGGGGCGGCGGGGCGCGGGGGCGACTGGGTCCGCCTCGCTCCGCCCTTTTCCCGCCACGGCCCTCGTCACCAAGCTGTCAAGTCACCGCCGCCGACCCAGCAACGCCTACCCCGGGGGCCACCGCCAGGCCAGCTGACTCCCTCACCGCCGACTCAATCGCCTCCAGCGCTAGCCCGGGGCTCCTGCCGTCATCCGCGCCGCTGCCCGGGGCTCCGCTGTCGCCCTCGCCGCTGCTAGGTAGCTTCACGCAGTCGCTGCTCCGCCCGCTCGTCGCTAGCTTCGCGCCGAGAGCCACCGCGTGGCAGCGAAGGGATGGTTCAGGCCGCGGCGGTGCGACAGGGCGGCCGCGTTGGCGGGGGTGGACTCAGCGGTGTTGGCCAGGGATGGTGACGGCAATGGTGGCAATGTCTCAGGACACGGCAGTGGCGGTGACGGTCGGGACGGGTTCGGCTGCTGCAGCGGCGCGAAGTCGGTCGTTAGGGTTAGGGTTAGGGTTCGGGTTAGGGTTAGCTCAAGGTTAGGGTTAGCTTTCCGGCACTGGCCATGGCTACCGCGCGCTAGGCCATGGCCTCGGCCGTCACGGCCACACTCGAGGATGGCTCCGATCAACATGGACCATGGCTGAGCCGCCGCTCAGCCACCACGCCACATGGCCGGGCCGTACAGCCAAACGGAGGGCCATGGCTGCAGCCGATCGCCGGCGTATGGCCTGATGGCCCAGCCATGGCCACGCCGGGCAAGCCGGCTCCGCCATGGCTAAGCCGACGATTGAGCCATCGGGCCATACACACAGGGATCGGCCGTAGCCATGGCCTCCGAGTGGCCAGATTGACACGCCCCTGCCGCGTCTCGGCCATGGCGCGGAGCATCGCCTAGCCACCCCGGCCATATGGTTCGGAGGCGCTGT